AAACAGTCCGTGTTTTATGAAAGCGGCTTTCTTGTAATTCACGTCTCAAACCCGCTGCAGCTCTTGAGCGCTGTGTAGAATTTGAATGGCGTAAAGGTCACCGCTGGTTATTGTCACCCAGCCGCCACCGCCGCCGCCGGCATTCGTCGGAGGAACCACGTGAAAGCACGACCACTCGATGACGCCACGGGCGGAAACGCACGGCAGCGCGGGGGCAATATAGAGACGTGGAGGAGGCGAAAGAAGTTTAAGAGGTAGTCACGGGAATTATGAAGGAGTAGTGAAAGACACGGATGAAGTGATAGAGCTGAAACTAAAAGCGGGGAAACGCCGGAGATACAAGCAATAGTAGAAAAAGTGGAGGAGGTAGTAAAAGTTCAGAGGTAAAATGAAGATGCTGTTGAGTTGTTATTAGTGGAATATTTAGGGATATAAATGATAGATTAGAAGAAGGCAAAGGTATAAAATTGGAAAATCAAAGGAGATTGACACGAATAGGAATAGAATGGAGAGATGCCCTTAATGAAAGCCGCAATGAAGACGGACGTGCAGTAGACGTGGTAAATACGGACAACAAACAAAAATAGCGAACAGCACAGGAGTAGAAGGAAGGCCACGAAGAGACCGAGGATGACACGGCGACGCGCCGGCAGCAACGGGGGGGGGGGATCATATTCATATGCAAACAGCGCAAGCAGGCACCGCACCGCCGTCAGCCCCGGGGCCCACGCGCTCGCCGCCGCCGCCGCCGCAGCGCTTTCTGACGGGGCGGAGGCTCGGCCGCGGCGCGGGTAGGTTTGTTTTTCCTCCGGCCGGCCGGCACGGCGGAGGCCTCGCTTCGGGGAAGGCAGACCCCTACGCAATCTTCTCGAGTGGGTTTGATCGTGTTTCTCCACAAACCACTTCTCTAACAACTTACGCTCTTTTCCGTTGAATGAATGGGAAGTTTAAGTCGCGGAATGCAGTAAAGCCGTGGGAAATACTTGTACTCATACTCGTATACCTTGTAGTCTTATGTCTAAGGAATCGTGGTTTTGAAAGAGACATGTATCCTAATCTTGCGAATTTAATTGAAATATTTAAGGTTATCTCATTAGATACAGGTTATGTCATTAGATACCAGATTTTGCTTACATCCAAAATATCTTAGAGTGAAGAATGTTAATCAAATATCAATCATCAATAAAGAACCAGCAAATTTCAAATCAATAATGCAAAAACACAAATAACTCCAATCTAACAATGCAACGTCATTTAAGTAAAAATTTTTATAACTCATACGTCATTTATAAATGCCTGCAGTGGTAATATACGTAATTATTTATCATTAGTCACAAGAAGACATTAGCATCTCTTAGTTTCGAGTTAGTTTATAATGTCTAATGAATGATGCAACTGCATACACAAAAAAGAAAACTGTATTAAAAAAAATAAAAGTAGTACTTTGGACATGAATTTGTTAGTTTCGTATCCAAAACCACTTCACATGTTGTTCTACGTAAATCTGAAAACATTATTCTGAATATCAGTATCTTTTCCGGAAGTATTGAAAATTGCAGTTCATATTATGTATCTACACAATGTAATTCATAATCACGTTAAGTAGGCGAGTGTTTATCAATGTTTTCTGACAGTCGTTCGACAAAGATGCCCTTGATCGCAAATACTAAAACGTCATATAGAAAATAAATTACTTCAAAGATAAAATATAGGTATTTTCGTTTCATATTGCTATTCCAGAAGGTTTGTTGGTTTATTGTCACTCACGAGGAAATAAAAGAGAACGAAAATGTTTTCATAATTTTCTTTCATTAATTAAATTACGCAAAAAACAATTTAATTAGTCATTTCAAATATCAGTCTAACCCAGATACCTTACAATCGCATAATTTTATCCTCAATCCTGTACCTAGTTATCTAATTTGATAGGTTTTTTGTATTCCCTTTAACAAATACACAAAAGGATATACTTGTACTGTAAAATTTGAAATATTTTTACGAACACTATATATCAATACTTTTTATTTTATGAATATTACACTTATATTTTCAGTAGTCTTGTTAGATGTGTTAATCGACCCAAACACCTTTAAACATTTTAATTCCAACTTATACACATTTTAAATAATCGCGAAGGAGGAATAAAATTCAACAAAAAATGGTATTACCTACGATATTATAATGGATGAATCTTTCTTTTTTCAATACTTTTAAAATCCTTCAATGGTGTCTGATCCCGGAAACTGATAACGTCAATATTTAGGCTATCACGCTAAGATATGTGGTAATATCGTTCTTACGTTATCAGATGATGCTCACATCGCAACATGTATCTTAATAACATATAACCCTCGACTAATTTGGTATTGATTAAGCCTGAGCACTTGGCTCGAGTTCATTGGTTCCACACCAACACCAGTCCTCTTGAACACATTTCTTGGAGTCGTTAGTGTATCCTATGTAACTGATCATGCAATCTAATGCAGAAAGATTATAAGCAGCTCACAAGCGTACTTTTCTCACTATTTTTGCAGGAAATTGTAGACGCCTCACTTAGTTCCCATCCATAAACTTGCACTATTTTCTTAACCCTTATTCCACAAAATTTTCTAGAACCGTTAACATGTGAAGAATAGATCAGAAACACTACAAACGTTCATATTTGTTTCAAGAACAATTTTACGCCATGGAAACGTAAAACGTAAATGCCAAGTAAATTCTATCCAGTGGTGAAAGATACTGGAATAATTTGCCTACCTGACAGGGTCCTAACACTTACGAATACTTCCTTTCCTAACAACACCAAACCGTTTCCGTTTTAGCGTTAATAGGTCAGTACAACGGTGTCCACTTACGAGGTGCTCATTGCCAGCGTTGCACAAGCGGTGCGCAGAAGCTCGCTCGCCTGTGCATGCGTGCAACTTTTCACGAACTTCCCGGTCTGTTCGTGGAACGGCCGGTGCGTTCCGAAAAGGAGCCCACAGGAGTCCGGCAAAGACGTCACAGGACGCGCGGCTCGTCTCCTAACCGCAAGTACAATGAACGCATTCTGGCCTCGCTTTTAAAGTCCATGTTTGAAAATATGCAGGGGTTTCCTGGGTGACTTATGGGCCCGGATCGTCATGCTGCAGCAAATTCTGACGTCATAGCGTCTGACGAGTTTAAATTAGTTTGTATGCTCCACTCAGACAAATTGCTATATAGTTATTTGCGAGGAGCAGCCAAATCCTTTTCTAATATTCCACAAACACACACTAATATTCTGTTGGTGAAAGATTATACCTCCTTACTTCCATTCTGCCAGTTGTTAGTTTTAATAAATATTTTGAATAACAAGGAAGTTAAACCAAACTGCATAAACTAATTTTGTCCGTGTAGACTAAGAGTAGAGTGACAGTTTGAAACGGTGTATCCTTACTATTATTATTATTATTATTATTATTATTATTATTATTATTATTATTATTATTGTTATTATTATTACTATGATTATTATTACTATTATTTTATCAATTTACGTAAAGTCATCTCATTGCCGATACAAAAGATTCTTGAGGTTTTTATTAAGAGGGAAAATCCTAAAACCGATTGATAACCAAATCCTCGTAAAACAGTGAGCTTGCAAAACATCCTACAAGTTTTCTCACTTGAGTACGACGGTACGTCACAAGACTTTAAAACAAAATACAACAACACATAGGTTTGAACCAAAGGACTTCAATACAAAAAAATATCCCTTGATATTACATAATGCTCATTTAAAAGACAACACATTTTTCCACGAATCATTCATTAATTTAAAACTAAATTTTATTATGTTAACAGACCGCTCAAAATATATATAGAAAATGGAATTTAAGAACTAGAGAATTCCGAATTTAGCACATTTCTTATATCAATGTAGCTGGAAATTTATGTAAATGAATAAAGTTATTTTTTTGAAATACAATACTACAACAATAAAACTAAGAGCAATGATTTTCACAAATCTAAAAAAGATAATCAATTAGTTAATTCAGTGAAGGGGAACGTGAATTCTCCTTGGCACAAATGTTAATTTGAAACCTAGATTCAAAAAATGATGAAAGAAAGGCAAAACGGATATCATATACGAATATAATTTTCAGTCTCTCGTATCTCCAAAAATATTCCGGACACGACTTCACGATTCCTTATAAATTAAGTCTAAGGTTGAAGATTATTTGCAATTTCTTAAATTGAAGTGCATGTTTCAACATTTCACACCATTGGCCCATGGAGGATGACAACAGCTTATAAAATGGAATATATAAATAATAACTTCGTAATAACCTCGAAATATCACTCCCAAAATATTAATATTGAAATAATACTACTTACCAAAGTAATAAATGAATAATTCGAAAATAATAACATCGAATATTTGGTTAATCAAATAAATCAAAACATAGTAATATAATATACAAAGTAACTACTAATATGTACTTAATTTTCTGTAGAGGCAAGAATCACTCCGTATCATTTTGTGAAGACAATCAGCAAATGAATCAGTAGTAGCAAATGAATCAGTAGATTGCAATATCAACAAAAAATTATCACCACCTGTAACAGTATTCCACTGAAAACAAACTTTCTGTAAAACAGATTCTTATGAAGTTTTCATCTCAACCTTTCAATTAAAGCACGCGCTTTCGCTTTCCATTTCCCTTTCTACGATGTGTAGAAACTAAATAAAAAAATATAAAATAAACCTACAGCCTGACAGTATTCCACTGAGAGCAGACTTCATGTATACACGGCCCTTACGAAGATTTCATTGTCTGCCCTTCAATCGCAACACACACTCGTGCTTTTTTTCTTCATTTTCCTCTCTACTAGAAACAAAAATAAACCTCCAACGTTGGCCATGCGTTGCAGTCGTGATACCGGCGCTTCAAAAACCGCGGGAAAGCACTAAAGGATTTCCCTCCCGGCATCGCACCGGCTGTTCCGCCCACGCACTCATGGCGATCGCGACTCACCGCTGCGCTTCCACTGCTGGAACTTGTGGTAGAGCAGACACGAGCACACGCAGCACACGCAGCTCAGCACCATCAACGTGAGCACCACGCCCACCCAGATGTCGGCGACGAGGGTGTCGTAGCCGTCGTCGGCCACCTCGGCCACCAGCACGGTGAAGTTGTGGGAGGGCGACGACGACGACGACGATGACGGCGGCCCCGCGAGGGCCATGAGTGGGCGAAGGGGGAGGGGCGCCGGCCCTTGCTCGGCCCGCGGCGGCCGGCCGGGCGGGGGCAGCGAGAGGCGGCGGCGAACGCACACGTGCACACACGTGGGGCCACTGGGGGGGCGAGAGCGAGCGCGAGTGCGGGCGCGGGCGCGGCTGGCTGGCGAGAGCAGTCAAGCAGGCAGGCGATCGGGCACGCTGCCTGGTCGCGACCAGACTGCCACCGCCGCCGCCACGCGCTGTTGACGCCGCCGCCCGCGGTGGCGGCGGCGGCGGCGGCGGCGGTGGCAGTGGAGGAAGAGGTGGCGGAGGCGGTGGAGCCCCGGCGTCACAAGGCCGCCCGCCGCCGCCGGCCACGCCCCCTCCGCCCCGCCATTTGGTCGGCGCGGTCGCCAACCTCTCGTCAACCTGACTCCTTTTACTTAGGGGAACTTCCGACAGGTATACAGCCACGCCGTAATGCGCCTCATATATTTTGTTTACCTGTGGGCGGGGCGCTGCAAACTCCTTTCTTCCATGCTTCGTACTACGCAACTGAAATAACGCACGCAACTATACTCCAAATCGAGATGTGAGGATGAAATGACAAAAGTAGGTCTGAATGAAATTAGACTCGCATTGTTGCCTATGAAATTTATTCATTAGAAACCTCGGGAAGAAGGAAGCTTACATGTTACAACTGTTAAGGAAACATGGTCACGTTTTTCGTCTTCATTTTCTATTCACGAAATTATTAAAATTTAAACAATGTAGGTTTATGAAATATGAGTGCAAAGAACGGAAATAACATGGTAAAATGGATGCAATGATAAACTATGTATTCCCGTTAGGAACTATACTTTGAAAGCAATTTAGTTCTTGTGCTCCATTGTTAGAAGTAATTTACGCATTTTACTTTATCGAATATATAAAAATTAAACATACAAAAACTCTAAAAATCTACTTTGCCATGAGGAAGTCGAAACTTTTTTATCAATCTATTGTACAATTATAAAAATTAAGACAAATATTGGAGATAAATTACGCGTATATATGTAGATGACATTTTCCCATGCAGCTCTTTTTTTAATTATGTAGGTGTGATGTGAAAAGTTTATGGTGCATTTTTGAAGTAACAATTTAAAGGTATATTCTGCATAATAATTCGAATACATTACTAAGTACATTAACAGTCATCATTAATCATTAAATAAATAATACCAAGGTATTTATAATTTTCCTCTTTAAAAACGGATATCAGTGAAAACGGTTGGCTGCAATGTTCAGCGAGAGATGATCGGTTAAGATCAAGAAAGAGGAGATATCACTAATTAGCTTAACGTCACCTATTATTTTTACAATTAGTCCTAGTAGAAAGATTAATTTAAAGCTTTGAAATCTTCAAGAACACTATAGAAAATACTTGTTTAAAATATTTTATTTTCCTCGAATAACTTCCATAGTCGTTTACGGCATCTCCACTACATGTAATCACCTCCAGTTGCGAATTTGCGTCGATTACTTCGAATCCATGACGATTCGAAACTATCCGATTCGAAATGACTATGCCAAATCCTTCAGAGATAACGTTGCTGCTTCCTGTGAATCTAACCGAGAGCACCTGCGTTTACATGTGAGACACGACAACTCTGTAAATTAAGCCTTGGGATAGAGTGCGAATAGTGACAGATTCATATGTGAAAGAGTACCTGGGTTCATCGCCATGAGTACTTGTAGAGGCCAACACCACACTCGAGCCACGAACCGTGCGGGATCCTTCCTTCTCCAACCTCTCCTCTCTCCATCCGTGACAGCTAGGACTTCATCCCCCCATGCCCAAGACTACGCCACGTTCTGCAAGTAAGCAGTACGATGATGTCAGGTCAATGGAGCTACTACAGCACATACTTTCTCGTATTATGATTAACGGTTAGTTTGTAATATTATAATACTGCAAACAAATTCTTTCTTACTAAAACTTCAGCCATTTCTTGCTAAACCTACACGATATAATTCAATATTCAACAAAAATAGTAATCTTTTAAAAAGTGTTCCTAAAGTTATTAGAAAATCTAAAATTGAAGTACAGGGTTTTAAGCGGGAAGTAGCGCCATCGAAAAGAGAAAATTCAAGTACACTTTATTCAGGCTGTAATTGCAGTTGGGTGCGCGTAACCTCGTGTGCTTGCTGCAGATAGTGTAATATTAATATGTTACAGAAATGGTGGTATCCTCTAAAGAATTTCAGGTAGTTTATTTCTCAAAGAGCCGCGCCCCTTCCCCCCTCCCCCACGATTGCTTATTACTAGAGACCGTAAGTTTTGCAAAATGCATTTTTGTTATTTTTTCTATTTTGTGATTTTTAACAATAGCAATAACTTAATTGTACTTCTGGACAAGTTCAGTAGAATTTCATTTTGCCATTTTTTGCCTTTTTTTTACCTCCTGATGCCTATTTTTGATGTTTTGGTTAATGTTTGCCTTTTTTTGCCCTTACATAATTACTTTGCCTTTTTTCTTCTCCTGGCAGCGATCTCGATCACGTTGGATCGAGAGTATTATACGTGCAAGCCTGTATAATACGAAGTCATGTTCGTGTTTTGTCTATCTGTGGAAGCAGATGGTGTGTTTAAAATCGCAATGAAAAAGGAAGATGATACCATTCAAGATTTTCATTTTTTTTTTTCATTGATAACAGGATTTGTTTGCTCTCTTGAAAACCCATCTTACTTTTGAGTATGGTCTCCGATTGCTTTCGTGTAAAGGTCTCTGTCTATACGATATGCCCTTCCCAGTGCTAGCGATAACACAAGTGCGAAGAACGAATAGCTATTTATGCACCAAGGCCGTTTTAAGGGTTCTAGTGATCGAATCGAGTGATCACGAGTTAACGCCCAGGTTCATAAATATTTACTTTTACCTTTTTACTAATTTTACTATTCTCTCTCTCTCTCTCTCTTAATATATAATATATATATTATATATATTTATATATATTAATATATTATATTTATTTATACTAATAATTAATAAAGTAACTTTGACCGCGTATATTGATCATATACCCCCATAATCCTCCATTAATGACATGTCGCAAACATTCAACTGCTTTCATATTTCCTAAAACCAAGAACCTCTTTGATCCAAGTGGTTATGCAGTGTATATCGAGCCCATATAGAAGGCAATAACAATAATGTATCAGTAAACACATATTAAAGAAAAATCCTGTTACTTACAAGTTTAGTCAACGTAAATCATTTATAGAATAGAAATGTCGCTCGTTTAATAATTTCTTGCAATAATTTTTAAATGTGATTTGTTCAATGTTTAGAGTGCTATATTGCTTCCTATTTAACAAATGCATTTTTGATGTCTATTTTAGCAAAATAAATATATTTTGCTCCTATTTAGGATAAAATAAATGTCTGAATACCGGTCTAGCTTATTTTTATACAAATTTTTCTATTCCAACTCTAATGCTAGGAAAGGTAGATCTTCATCCAATGTTTATCTACTGTTTTTTTTGGAATTTATTTCTGATCTGTTCGAGCAAGATGTCTCAGGATTATTTGACATTACATTTGAATTATGAAGATTTGGATTCACAAGTAACTTTTTTTTAATGTTTTTTTTATTTTCAATCGCTAATTGACAATCTTTTACTTGACCAATTAGTAACTGGTAATACAGTACAAGTTATATAAGAGAATCTACTGGTAAGTTCTAGAATATGTTACGTTTAGCTATAACACTGTTGCACTATTTATTGTCCAACATGTTCACTGATGTTGATTTCGGGTGCTCCAGGTCTCTGATGCCTCTTGCTCTTCGAGATAGTCGTATTGTTGAGATGTTCAAATATCTCAAAGTGTGCATATAATCTAGTGTTTTTTGTTTCTAATCTTCTAGGACTCAGGTTTGACTTGCTGGCAGTCCAGAGTTCGATGCCGGTAAGTCATGTGGCTTGATTATGTCTTGTACCTAAAATTATGTTGTATAGGAGAGTTAGACTTGTAAGTAGCCATGAATAATTTGCTTAATTTCAGTTGTGATTTTTCTCTTTTTCAGATGTGAGGGTTTCCAGGTAGTGACTTGTCTAGATGTAACCAACTACAACAGTTGTTACTGAAGTTCTGACGATTAAAATTCAACTTTGGGAACTGATCTTTTCGAAGTGAGAAGTATTGGTGTGATTTGCTGTGTTTATATTTTACTCTCAGTGATTCGTCCATTCTTCTATCTTGTCCAGATGCGCTTGCAGGTGTTGCGATGCTCGAGTTAGTCCATCGTCGGAAGTTAAAATAGCTGTGTCACAGCAAATTGAGCATCATTGTGCCGTTCTGTTGTTGTAAGTCAGAGTATAGATTACGTCAGAATTGGTCCTAAGATATCTTAGGGACCTGCGTCTGTGGTTTAATCCAGAGAAAACACTTGGATTATGAAAAAAGCGGTTGGATAAGATATTTTAAAAAATGGTATAGAAGAGTGCGGGAGTAATTGTTGATTTTGAATGCAGTCCTGCCATGCAGACCCTATCAAATGTTTGGTATACAAGTAGACTGAGGTAGTGATTATTGACATATACTAAAATATTTAAGTTATATTAGATTAAAAAATTGTAATTGATATTAAGTAATTTAGAGTTGAATGAGGAGGAAGTAATAAGAGCATGTGGTTTAGGGGGAATGAAAATTTATCTTCGTAATCTTGAAAGAATACGTCAAGGAAATTGTTGCTGACTAAATTGTATTGTGTGTGTTGGAAATCTTTAAGAAGTGCAAATTTCTGGCTGTGAATAATTATTAAAAGTGAAAAAGTAATCAGTTTTAGTTCATTGTGGCGACTGTTGGTTAAGAATGTAAAGGAGCATGAAATTTTACGAATTCTTTATTTATTGGAGATGTGGATTTTATTAATTGTGAGATTTAACTGCATGGATAATGGACAGACATTATATTTAGTGGTGGGACGATTGATGTAATATAATATTAGTTTGCTATGTACATGTAGACTAATTTAAGTAAATATAGAGTGAAGTTTATGTAATTTTAATGTAAGTTTAACGAATAATATTTTTTAATCTGTGATTCCATTGTCGCTTGTATCTAAAGAGACGAAGGATTTGATAGGAGTGGTAGAGGAAAATCATGTGGCGGGTTGATTGTAAACATAATCATAAAGCCAGGTTTACAAGTGTCAAAATTTGGCTTGACACTTGGTCATATTGATTTTTCATCAGCCAATTGAGC